GGTGAATGAAAGGGGGGCGTGCCGGTGCGCGTAGCTCGGCGACGCGGCGGCTGGACACCGCTGGGAGGTGAGAATGAGAAGCGGATTCACGCTGCGGTTTTCATTGGCCTGGGGAGGATTGGGGCACCCCAGAAGGTCGGCCCACGGCGGGGGTCAGCGGCAGGGATGTCCCTTGTCGGTCGGTCTTCCTCGGACCTCCCGGCCTTGGCGACTCCCGGGACCCCAGCCGACCGGCCCCGTCTTCCCCTTCAGAGTGGGGAGGGGCGGCGTGGTGGCGGGTTGCCCCCGAGCCCCGGGCTTGGGGCTGTGCTGTGTCGTCGAGCTGGGTGGGCGTTTGCTCTTTCGGACTGTGTCGGAGTGCCAGGCTCTGCCAGGCTACACAGTGTCCACCCCAGCGATGGTCACTTTGTCCGCGGGAGACCACGGGAGGGGCGAGGCCTCGCTTCTCTCCTTCAGAGAGCGAAGACCATGTCCAGCAATTGGTTCTGGTGGTCTCTGCAGGGTCATCTGGCTCTGGACGCCGGAGGACCCGCCTGTCTTGGAAGCAGATTAGCAGTTGAATCAAAGATGCGACCCACCCCGAATTTCGTTTTGTAGAAAAGGAAACTCTCCCTGTCTCCATGGTGGGGAGGGGTGGGGGTGAGTTCCCTAAGCCTTCTCACTGTTTGGCCAGTGGACAGTCTGCTCTGGAAAGAAGCCCTTCCAGTTCTTGGCTGGAGGTATAATCTGTACATTTGAGCCTCAGTTTTCCCTCTCCGAAAAAGAGAATGTAATGGTCACATCTCCTTCACGGGGTTGTAAAATGAACTAATGATGTAAAGAGCTTGGTACTGTGCTCCATGAGGACTGCTCAGTAAATGTTAACAATAAATGGCTAATTTTCACTATTCTCAGCTTGTTGAGACTGGAGGAGTCTTGTCAGAAAGTCAGTGGGTGGAATCAAGTCTGCTTTTGGCATGCAATGAGGACAGACTGTGATCTGGCTAGGGTTCTCCCAGGGGTGTGGGGGAGGACATGTACTACAGTTGGTTCATTTACCTGTTTCTGGCATCTTCTAGTGTCAGGCACTGTATGGAGCTAGTGACTGTTGGATTGATTGGTAACTGTGGAAGGCTGGGAAGGTGGAATCTATTATGGGTAAATGTGCTTCTTAGAGCCGTGTTCGCTAAGGGCTTCTTTTCTGGGTAAAGTGGTGATCCTCAGACTGTCCCAGGGATGTACTGCACTATATGGAAGTGAGATTCAGGGTCCTCCCTGGTGGCCCAACTGGTTAAACAGCACTACGAAGCTGGCCACAGCCACTGCAGCATGAGTTTAATCCCTGGACAGGGAGGTGACCCACACAGCACGGTGGACCTCTGCTGTCTTGCCCGCTGCTCCCCTCATCAGTGTACTTTGTCAGTCTGCCTATTCTGCTCTACACTCTTGTCTCTGGAGGATCCTCTCACTGCTTCTGCACCTTTGGCCTGTACCCCAGTTCTCTATGCATAAATAAATAAATCTTTGAAAAAAAAAAATAGGCCCTCCCTGGTGGCACAACGGGTTAGGATGTAGCACTGCAAGCTGGCTGCAGCCACTTCAGTGTGAGTTTGATCCCTGGCCCTGGAGGTGATCCACAGGACACCGCAGACCTCTCTTGACCCGCCCACTGCTCCTCTCAGCAGTGTGCTTCGTCCATCTGCCTGTTTTGCTCCCTACTCTGTCTCTGGTGAAGTCTCTCATCACCCCTGTATTTCAGGCTTGTACCCCAGTTCTGTATGAATAAATAAATAAATAAATAAATAACAAAAGATAAAACTTAAGGTCCTCTGCTGATATAAAGCTCCCTAGAAAAGTTCACACATATACCATGAAAAGCATATCCACAAATGTATCATACTGTATGTTTTGTTTTATTTTTTGAATAACACATTGACCTTTTTATATAGATACGGAACACTAGCTCATTTAAAACGTGGCTGCATAATATTCCACTGTGTTTGTACTTCATTGATTTCACTTGTTCGTTATGGGTAGACTTTCAGATTATTACTGTTTTTGCAATAGCCCAAAAACCTAGTGCAGTAGATATCTCTGAACTTAAAGTTTGATGTATTTTGGGAAACATACCCCAAATAGTAAGTTTTTAGCAATGAAATTTTTGGAGCAAAAGATGTATTTTTTTTAGGTTTTTATTGTAGAGAATATTGAACAAACTGGACATGGTTACCTGTATGATTCTCTTCTGCATCCAAAGTCTGTTTGCTTTGAAGGATCTCCACCATCTGGCCATGACCCATGGTTTCCATCTCTGATGTCAAGGCTCTGCTTCAGTCAAAGATGTGTGCATTTTAAGGTGTTTTTTCTCAAGATTTGTTTATTTATGCATACAAGAATTGGGGTACAAGCCAGAGGTGCAGGGGGTGAAAGGCTCCCCCAGAGACAGAGTGGGAACAGAACAGGCAGATTGGCAGAAATACACTGCTGAGGGGAGCAGTGGGCAAGACAGGAGAGGTCTGCTGTGCCATATGGGTCACCTCCCTGGACAGAAATTGAATGCATGCTGCAGTGATGAGACTTCTTAACCCCTTGAGGGTTAAGTTAAGGGAGGGCCTTGCATTTTAAGTTTTAATATCGACAATTTCCCCTTCTAAAATGATGTTCCAAATTACAATACCACTGACAGTGGGTATTATCCCATTAAAAAATATGATTTTACTAATCTGATGTTTTCTTTTAGTTCTGAGGAAGAAGACTATAATGTCAAATGTCACCTTTTCCTATATACTTTTCCCCTCTGTATCTGGATTGTCACAGGCCATAATACAAACTACTGGGAAGGTTTGGTTGGAAGAGGTGAAAATGACATGAAGTCTTAGTTCTGTGAAAACTTTTTGGATTGATTGATTTGACAATAGCAGAATTTCTCAGATATTTCATAGTTCTTTTATATTCTGAACCAAAATGTTAATCTTAACTGCTTTGAGTGTAAACATTATAGAAATTATGTCCTAACTTCCTGAGTTTAAAGTGAATATAAAAAGAGTCATCTGATGGCCCATCAGTTAGAGCCTTAGGCTATAATTTAGTGATGTCCTCAGGCCACTTTGAATATGTAGGAATAGTTACAGTGTTAGCTAAATGGCCTCAGGCTGATATTTTGAAAAAATTCCCAAGGTTTATTTTTTTTCAGTTCTTTTATCATTCCTGGCAGCCCTTACTTTTGAGTTTGTCAGTTTACCTGCTTATAAAGTCCTCTCCATTTCCATCCTTAGTTTGGTTCTCTAGTTTCTAGACTTAATGTGTCACTTGATATAAACACATATAAAGTAGATGTGAATGAAGTTGTGGACTTTCGGAGTCAATTCTGTGCAGATAGTGCAGAGACCTGGGGAGTCTATTTTGCCATTGGAGGAACTCTTTTTGTGGGGAGGTCGCCCCTGATTTCTGGTGGGGTGGGGGCATTGTGCTGCCTTAAGCAGCTGAAGGGTCCTAGCCGTGGCTGGCAATTCCGGCTGTGCCTTTGGTGATTCCAGCATCAAGATCATATATGTGGTTGTGGAAAATGCTTTGAGCTCAAAGGGCCAGCAAGTAAAGTGGTCATTGATGTAGTTTGTGTGGTGGGAGAAGACGGAGGGAGAGCTTGGGGAAGGTCAACGTTTGTCTTTCGCACTAGAAGGTTTTTAAACTTGATGTATACTTGTCCTATTAAGCACTTAAGTAGCCCTTTGACTTGGCAAACCTCCTGTGGCAGGTGCTGTGAGGGATAGCCAATGAAATGAGACTTGGCTCATGCTTCGGGGGACTAAGGCCAGGAAATAAAGAGAGGAAGGTGAGTAAGACAAGTTGCAAGCAGTTGGAAACCCCACACAGATGAGCTAACGTGGAAAGGGAATTAATTGACTTGTGGCACAACGTGGGTTGGGGCTCAGATGGTGCCCCAGGCTCCATCTGTTGCCCCTGTCTGAGCTGGCTGTCGTCTTTGCTGGGCTGGTTCCCCTGGTGATGTGGTGGCAGCAGCCCTCACATCCACAGGCCCAGAACAGAGTGCTTTCCTCAGGACCCCAGCAACGCTTCATTGTTTTGCTTTGTCTCTGACCAGGCCACATGGCATCTCTGAGCCAATCACTGTGGCCGCAGGGTGGGGCCCAGGGTGTTTTGCTCTAGTCTGTCACATTATACAACCCTGGAGCCTGCCTGGGGGTGGAACCAGCCTAATAATATAAAGCACATTGGCCAAGAATGGGGGAGGGGTACTTTAAAAAAAAATTTATTTATGTATGTATATAAGAGCTGAGGTGCAGGCCAGAGAGAGGCATGTGGGGCTGGGTGGGGGTGGGTGAGTGGGGGTGCGGGGAAGGGCTGGTGGTGAGAGGATGCACCAGAGACAGAGTGAGGACCAGAATGGGTGGATTGACTGAATGAAATACGCTGCAGCTGGGAGCAGCAGGTGAGACAGGAGAGGTCTGCTGCACCATGTGACTCAGCTCCCTGGCCAGGGATCGAACTCATGCTGCAGTGGCCGAGGAGCATAATAGTACTTCATCTAAACCCCTTGCACCACCAGACCCCAGAAAACATAGTGTTGAGAGCATGAGCTTAGGAAGTAGATATATTCAAACATGGCTTGAATCCTGGCTCTTTTATAACTATACTTTTCCTGTCCTCTCTGAGTCTCAATTTCCTTTTCAGAAAAAGTGCAATATCGGTAAATATGGTAAGTATAGTATTAATACTTAGGGCTTTGTAAAAGTTCATTGGAAATTCATAAAATACTAAGCACTGGGTCCACATTCAGTTAACTATAGTGATTTTTGATAAAATAACCCATTTGACAACCTCTGATTTTGTTGGATCCAAACAGTTCATATCATAATAAAAGCTATTGAACTAGTGTTTTTGGAAGGATTTTTAAAAAATTAAATGGACATTTTCTTTGTAAGGTTGGGATTTGTGAATTAACTTTAAAAAACCTTGGCAGAGATACAGTCTCCTGCGGAGCGGCAGCAGCTGGTGGAGAGATGGAGATGCAATCGTATTATGCCAAACTGTTGGGGGAGCTGAATGAACAGCGCAAGAGGGACTTTTTCTGTGACTGCAGCATCATTGTGGAAGGGCGGATCTTCAAAGCCCACAGGAACATTTTGTTTGCAAACAGCGGCTACTTCCGAGCCCTGCTCATTCACTATATTCAGGACAGCGGACGCCACAGCACGGCCTCCCTGGACATTGTCACCTCCGACGCCTTCTCCACCATCTTGGACTTCCTCTACTCTGGGAAGCTGGATTTGTGTGGGGAGAACGTGATTGAAGTTATGTCGGCTGCCAGCTACCTGCAGATGAACGATGTGGTGAACTTCTGCAAGACTTACATCAGATCATCCCTAGATATCTGCAGAAAGATGGAGAAGGAGGCAGCTGTGGCTGCGGCGGTGGCAGCGGCGGCGGCGGCGGCGGCTGCGGCGGCGGCGGCAGCAGCTCATCAAGGTGACAGTGGAAGTCCTGGTTCTGGCAGGGAAGGGACCTCCTGTGACCCCAAGAGCATGGTCTCGTCTTCAGCCGAGGGAGAGGAGAGTGCGGACTGCCCGACAGCGTCCCCTTGCGGTGACTGCAGAGGCTGCCGCCCCCTGGAACTGATGGTGAAGGACTGCGCGGGCAGTGGCCTGGCTGACGCTGATCTCTCGACTCCCTCCAAGCAGGTGAAGCCCAAGGTGGAGTCAGATGCCGAGGAAGTGGAGGTGGACGTCAGCGAGCAGCTGCAGCAGTATGCTGCCCCGCTGAGCCTGACCCACGTGGAGGAGGGCTTGCCCGGTGGCCAGACGGACTTGGCTTACAGTAACTTCCACGTGAAGCAGTTCCTAGAGGCGCTCCTGCGCGGCAGTGCGGTCCAGAGCAAAGACGATGCGGACCACCCCTTCTCCCGGAGTCTGGAGGGAAGGCCGGATGTTGCCGGGGTAGCCATGAGCTCTGGGCCAGATGTCCAGGCTGACTGGTACGGAGAGGACTCAGGTGAGCTCCATCGGCATCCACCATCTCTCCTGGTCATTTAGCACTCACGTCCATGCTGGGTAGACGCCCCCTCATCATCAGCACCTTTGTCACAACCATCTTCGCCATCACCCCTGCTGCCACCGCTATGTTACCCCAGGGATCACTCCCGGCGCTCCCCATAGGTGTTCAGTGAGCACTCACGGTGCTCAGGGCCTTGTTCTTCCTGCTGTTTGATTTCCGCCTTTACAGCTATGTTAATGTGAGTGGTCCTATTTGGTCCAATTTGATAAGTTATTTTTGGACTCTGGGAATGCTAAAAATATAAATTAATGATAATTATCTTTCCAGAACTAAAATATAACCTGCCAAATCATGCCTAATGGGGTTATCCACCTGTCAGATAGCAGGGTGGTCCCATAGGCCTGTCAAGAGCAGTTTCTAGACCTAGAAAAGACCTCACCATCTTCCATTAGCCAGGGTGGGACTTTGGTTCAAAAATTAAATCTTTTGGACCTGTTTTGTACATGAAGTTACTTTCCCCACCTGCTTTTCTTTTAGGGTTGAGGAGCAAATGAAAAGGTTTTCAGAATTTTCCTTTGCATATGATAACATGTTGTATACAGATAGAAAATTTGTACTCCTTGTGACAGCCATGATGTTGCACATAGATGCTCAGTTAGCATGTCTTGGGCAATGAGGCTTCTACCTGAGAATATGCTGGCATGTGGCTTCATGTGAATAATTTTCTTATACCCTTTGGTCTGCATTTGTGTTTTTTATATATATATATTACATCATTTTGTGCATTTTTTCATCTCAGTTGTAATTCCTATGTGCATTTGTGTTTTAAGAGAACTTACTCAGTTGTTTCCCTGTGAGATAAGTCAACATATCTTCTTTCTAGGGGAGATGACTGTGTCATAAAGTGCCTTGGAGGAGATAGAAATAAAGTTGGGTACCTCCTTACTGGTAAACTTCTAGAGCCTCAAACGAAGAAATTAATGTTATATTTCTAATTCACCCTTCAATATTCAGCAGTGAAGAGCTTAAGTAAGGGAAATTAGCTGCTTTTATTCATCACTGATGGCTTTCTTGAGACCTTTAAATTTCCACTTTTTATTTTAAGATGTATTTATTCATACATACAAGAACTGGGGTGTAGGCCAACTGTGGGGCTATGTGACAGGATTCCCCAGAGACAGACCGGGCAGATTCACTGAAATACACTGAGGGGAGCAGCAGATGAGACAGGAGAGGTCTGCTGCACCATGTGGGTCAGCTCCCTGGTCGGGTTTGAACTTGTCCTGCAGTGGTTGCTGATAGCTTGTCAGTGTTGTGCTTTAATCTGTTGCACCACCAGGGAGGGCCCTAAAATTTCATTTTTTAAAAAAGATTTATTTATTTGTGTGTACAAGAACTGGGGTACAGGTCAGAGGTGCTGAGGGAGGGGCGGGTGAGAGGATTCACCAGAGACAGAATGAGGAGCAGAACAGGTGTATCTACTGAAGTACACTGCTGAGGGGAGCAGTGGGTGAGACAAGAGGTCTGCTGTGCCATTGGGTCATCTCCCTGGCCAGGTTTCGAACTTGTACTACAGTACAGCACACCTTGGTCAGTGTGTGGGCCCTAGAGAAGTGAAGTGTGGTTGGGTTAGTCCTAGACCATCTCTCACAAGGGTCAAGCTGGTCAGATTAGCTGGTCTCGTCTGTGAGTGCCCTGAGAAGATGAGAAGGTTGGAAGTCCCTTGGTGGTAGGTTTGAGGAATTGACTTAAACATGTGATGTGTGTGATGCCATTTGGGTAACCCAGGGGAGATATTAAGCTATTGCACCTGTAGGGTTGGTGTTCTGGGGAGACATGAGAGCTGAGAAATATATTAGGGAGTCATTGATGAGCGCACAGAATTTAAAATACCTGTATTCCATGACATTAATAGATCTAGAGAAAGATGAGTGTTCTAAGGACTGAGCCCAGGGGGGTGCGGGGGGGGGCTAACATTTGGAGGTTAGGAGAAAGGGAGAAGTATGCAAAGGAGACAGAAGGGACAGCCAGTGAGGGGAGGACACTCAGGAAAGTGATGGATGCAGGAGGACACAGTGGCTCAAGGAAAAGAGAATCGACTATGTCCAGTGCTGCGTGTGGTCAGGTTGAGGACTGAGCTCTGGATGGAGCAAGGGAGAGGTCATCATACACTTGACAAGAGCAACATCAGTGACATGGTGGTGACCAGACTGGACAGAGTGGGTTTGAGAGAGAACTGCAGAGACAGACGTGAGGACAGCGAGCACAGACGATTCTTTCAAGGAGTTTTGCTCTGACGGCCACAAAGAAAGCACTGGGAAGGGAGATAGGTCAAGGCATTTACTGCGGTGGTGGATCGGAAGCATGTCTTGGGACATCCCCCAACCCCCACCCTGTCCACTTTCTGCAGTTTCACTTCCCCAGTTTCGCTTTGCCTGGTTGCAGTTAACCTGTGGTCAACCACCAGCTGAAAATAAGCACGTGTAAGGTATTTTGAATCAGAGCACATGCAGATAATTTTATTTCAGTTTACTGTTGTCATTATTTTGTTTCATTTTTATATTGTTGTTAATCGCTTAATGTGCCTAATTTAGAAATAAGCCTTTATCATAGGTCTGTATGAATAGGAAAAACAGTCCATGCAGGGTGTCGAAGAAAACAGTATATTTAGAGTTTGGTACTCCTGGTGGTTTCAGGACCCACTGAGGGTCCTGGAACATGAGTAAAGGGGGGACTCCTGGATTTACCAATGACATTGACCCAAGAAAGAGAAGGAGAATTGGCGATGGAAAAGAGAAGGCAACCGAGAGGATGAGGGGTGGTGGCATACGGAGGGGCTGGGTAAGGACGGGAAGAAGGACAACTTGTTCATAGTAACAGGAGTAAACATAGAACATATGTGTTCCTGTTGGGGGGGTTGGGGTGAGAGGAGCCTATAGAGTTTCTTTTCTTTCTCCTCCTCAATGAAATAAGAAACAAGGACAGCAGCTTCCTGAATGCAAGGAGGGACTTGGAGATTGGGGCAGAGGGTAGGTTTAAAATAGTCATTGAGAAGAGAGGGAGAGTTAATGAGCTAGAGAAGTATTTGGGGTGCCTGGGCAGAACTTTTTTTTTTTTAGAGATTTTTATTTATGCACACAAGAGCTGGGGTACAGACCAGAGGTGTGGGGGGTGAGAGGATGCACTTGAGACAGAGTGGGGAGCAGAACAGGCAGATTGAAATACACTGCTGAGGGAGCAGCAAGCAAGACAGGAGAGGTCTGCTGCCATGTGGGTCACCCCCCTGGCCAGGGACCGAACTGGTGCCACAGTAGCTGCAGATAGATCACAGTGCTGTGCTTCAACCCCTTGCACCAACAGGGAGGCCCCAGAACATAGCTTTTTTTTTATATCAATGGTCAGATGGTGACTATAGACAGCATGAGGTGAGACAAGAATACACAGGTGTGTTTTTCTCAGCGATGTTAGCTTGCTGTGTTTCAGGAAGGGAACCAGCAGAGTTGTATTTACTTTTAGTTTAGATTTAGCCACCCAGATGAGGATGTGGACAAAGAAGTGATTTCATTGATGGAATATGGGCACTAAGCTGGAAAAGCAGCGGCAGTAAAATGGCTGGATGGCTTATGGCCTGAAAGTCCCCATAGACAAAGGCCACTTGGGGTCTTTTCTTTGGGAAGTATACACAGTGCTTAGAATGTAGGTTATTGAGAAAGTAAAATCATTGGCAATATCACAATCATTCTCCCTGCCTTACATTAGAATGGGAAGGGTGCTAGAAAAATATGCCCAACTTCACCCCTTAGTTTGAGGTGGGGACTAGACACCAGCATTTATCAAGTTGAAGTTTCCCAAGTGATTCTGGGATTGGTCCTTTCTATACACTTACCTGATATATAAGGCAGACTGCATACCATTGGTCTGGAATTGGGTGGCTGAGGA